TAGAGAAGCCAGATTGAGAATGTAATTATCCTAATTAATTTTATATCTTGGATCTCTGAGTAAACAGCAGTTTCAAAGCAGGCCTCCAGCTTTTATGCACTGAGTAGTTGTTTCATCCTGTTGAGGGGCATCTTTGTAATAAAAAATGTTGTTCTTTTGTAGAAAAGGACCGTCGAGAACTCGGGATCCTGAAAAAATACGAGTTGGACTGTGGAAATTTCCCCTCCTAACTCCCTCCCACCACTTCAGGCCTGTTCTGCAAGGAGTTCACGAACCTTCCCCGCATCATCCTCCTCCTCTGGATCATCCGGGCTTGGTGCAATCAGCTGTGAAGCATTAGCTCTAAATAACTGAGAGGCCAGTTTGCTCCAGCACACAGGCGCTCGTCACAAAAAAATGACCAAGCAGAGAGCACAATTTGCGGGAGAAACTTAGAGAAATAACTACTTAAATGAGCTGCAGAGAAAGCAAGAGTAAGTGGGGGCTAAGCAGTGTTTTACCTTTGGAGCAGGCTAAAGATATTACAGGAGATTCAGCAAGCAGACCCACCCTTGGCCACTCTGTGCACCAGGTTTTGTCCTCCCTGGTGAAGCTGGATGCAAATGCTCATTCTGCTTTATTTACTTGCTTAGGTGATTTTTGGCAATTCGGCGTGCCTTTCTGGTGCAAATCCTCAGTGTATTGGGCCAAGAGACACAGGATTGAACTTTACAAGGAAAATAAACAGGTCAGTAAAAGAACCCAAGTTCATGATCAGGACAGCACCTCACTCCGCAGCTCTGATTCATCACACACAACACACAAAAACATTTTACTCTTTCAATCTACTTGTGCCTCAGTAACCAAATAATTCTGGGAAGTATTCAGGGCAAGAGGGAATGTGCTGGTGTCATGTTTTTGTCAGCAGCTGTAAAGTAGATGTGCATCAAACTACTCTTTGGTGGTGATGCCAGATATTCCTTGCCCAAATAGCAACCCTGCCCTTCCAAAGAATTTTTTTGAAGATGTTATTAAGCATCTGATTTGGGGCCAGCTCTGAGAGCTGTTTGTCCTGATCTTTACTGCCTGCTGAAAAGAAAGTAATACTGCAAATGTATCAGAACATACCAGCAGGCGACTTATCATAATTGCAATGGAGCTAACAACATTTCCACCAAGTGATTTTTGGCACTGACAGCTGACTCGAACAGTTGTTGGTGGCTGGGACAGATGGACTTCATATATTTTTTTTTTTAAAAAGTCCTTCTACTCATTTCTACTACATGAAAAGGCTTTTTGCACAATCTGGTGTATTAACAAAACCTCAGGGAGATACCTACTTGTCGGGTAATAAAGTATCAATATATGTTACTTTCACCAGGAAATGCTTGAGAGATTTGGGGAGGGCTCCATGGCTCTGTCCTCAAGATCCACATGGCCATTTCCCCTTCAGAGTTTCTAGCTGCTTTTGGTGCTCCAGCTTGGTGTGAACTGAATCCATGTTTCACCAAATTGTGTTTCATGGCAGCGACTTAAGACCATGATGAAGAGAAGGGGCTGTTTCAACCTTACTTCTTTGTGGGACTTATTCAGCACCAACCCTCCAGGCTTCGGTACGTGCTGGATTTTATGATTTTATGTGCCCCTGACAGCCTCTCCTGAGCTTAGTGGGTGCCTTCCAGGATGTAAAGTCAAGCATAGCGGAGCAGTTCCCAGACTTTTCTATTCTCAGCCCTATTTCTGGCTACTGTGGGGTGCAGCGTTGGAACCATCTCCTCACTCCAGCTTTCCAAGTCATCCTGTCATCCTTCCACTCATGTTTTTGTAAATAGTGCCCAAATCCCCTTCACCGAAAGCCGCAGAGGCTCTGAGAGTTATGTGCAGCTAGAGAACTGGTTTTCTTGCTCTCTTTTTCTTTTTTTTCTTTCCCCCAAGATAACCTGTTTGAAATATTTCAATAAACTTCAGTGCTGAGCTAACTCAGAACAGTTATCTGTGTGTGTATAAATAAATACGTACCTGTGTGCACCTCCCCGTGTACTTTAGTAGCCCAACTTTCCGCATCAGCTGCCGGTGTCACCCGAACCCCCTGCGTCCCCTTTGCTGCCGCCAGCCCTCCGGCTGCTGTCCCCCTGCTCTCCCCGGCCCTATTAATAGCCGGACACCAAACGAGCCCCAACTCATTCCTGCGCGGAATTAGCAAATGTTTTCGCAATTAAAACTGCAGCCGTCCACGCGGGGCCCCCGGAACAATAGGCGCCTGTGCGGGCGCGTGAATAGGCGCTGTGTGCGCCCTGCCGAGCCCGCACATTCCTGCCCCGGCCCCGCGCCCGCCCGGCCCGGGGCGCCCATCCCCGCGGCGCCGGGGCTGCTGCGCGTCTCCCCCCTCCCGCATCGCGCGGCGGCT